GAAATTTCGTCTTTAAAACATTAAAATTAATCTTTCGCACATTTAACAAATCAAATCTGGTTAAACGAAAATATTTCTTTTTTTTAAGTAGTCTTACCTGACAAATTTTAATTTCGCATACTACATGCTGCTAAAGGTTTTGCCCTAAGACTAGACACTTACCAGAACTGGTATTCTGTTCTAAAGCCTTAAACAGTTTTTAAAAGCAAATATTTAAGATTTTAAACAACAATTGATAAAAAGTTTAGTTTTAGGATTAGTGTTCTGCAGATAAAATCCTTTTAGAATCATCAGCATTTAGTCTTGGGGTAAATAAGAGTGCAGAGTTTACGAACGATGTTATTAATAAATTTTTTTTTCTACGTGTACACATAGGTCCTGTGATCGGCATCCGCCACCTGCAGGCCCTGCTGCTTTTTCTGGCCATCGTCGTGAACTACACAGCCCGCCTCAGCGTGAGTGTGGCCGTGGTGGCCATGACGGATGCAGCTACTACCAATCCGGTCTTTCCGGTGAGTGCGGTTCGATAGGCGGCTGAGTGACTCAGTTCTCACCGAAATCCTTTCTGCAGGAGTACGATTGGACCGGGGCTCAGAAGTCATACGTCCTATCCAGTTTCTACTGGGGCTACATCGTCACCCAGTTTCCGGCCGGATTTCTAGTTCGCCGTTTCGGGGTCAAGGTAGTGCTACTCATTCCAACGCTAGCCACAGCGTTCCTCAGCAGTCTCACGCCTTACTGTGTGGCCTGGGGCGGCTGGCAGGCCTTTAGCACCATCCGCTTCGTGGAGGGCCTCTTCCAGGGCTTAATATTTCCGTGCATACACGAGCACCTGGCGAAGTGGTCTCCGCCTGAGGACCGCAACCGGTTGGGCGCCTTCGCGTACTCGGGAGCCGACTGCGGGTCGGTTTTGGCCATGGCCAGCAGCGGCCTAATTGCGAACGGGTCCATGGGCTGGCCAGGAATCTTCTATGTTTCGGCGGGCACCTGCGGGCTGTGGTGCCTTCTCTGGGTGACACTCGGCGCAAACAACGCTCCCAGCTCGCGTCTGATCGGCGCAACAGAACGGGAGCACATCGAGCGCTCGATGAAGCGGCCTGATGGCTTCCACGCCCAAAACATACCCATCCCGTGGCGGGCCATCTGGACATCAGTTCCCTTCTACGCCCTGCTGATCGTGCGAAGTGCCCAGGGCTGGGCCAACTCGACAATGCAGCTGCAGACACCTTCCTACATGCACGGCGTCCTGGAGATGGACATCAAAAGTAACGCGCTCTACTCGGCCCTGCCCTTCCTGGCCATGTGGGGCATGTCCTATGTTTACCTGGTCTTCGCGGATGTGGCCCTGTCGCGGAATTGGATGTCACTGACCACGCTGCGCAAGTCAATAAACACAGTATCCTACTGGGGACCGGCGGCGGCGCTCATCGGAATCGGGTTCCTGGACAAAAGCCAGGCCAGTCTGGCCATCGCCCTGATGACAATCAACGCCGGATTAAACGCCGGCTCTGGGATTGGTAGCATCCTGACAATCATCGACATGTCGCCTAACCACTCGGGCATGCTTATGGCCATTGTAAACGGCATTGGCAACATCTTTCCGCTTTTAACGCCGCTCTTAGTGGGCGTTATTGTCACCGAACCGGTGAGTACTCCGAAAAAAAACCGTTACATTTTTCCCCTTTTGAGTATGAGTCTCTAATAATAAGATCATCAAGGCAAGACCTACTGGGTTCAAACTGATATTTTGAAATTATGTACCTTTGGGTGTCAATATACCATTACCCATTATGCTTCAAGTATTAATATTGTGCTGATTTGAGGAGTTTCTAGGATATTTTTTGAGTCAAATTGATACATGCCCCAAATAGATTTTATGATCAATATGACACCCAAAAAAATGTTTGATATTCCTTAAAGGTGTGCTGTCTTTGCTTAGTCATTATCAAGCCGCTCAAGTATTACATAGTTTATGAGAATCGTGAGTCTCTTATGCATTCTTGAAAAACGTTAGAGCAAGCATAGGATTACAATATTTCTGTGTAAAAATATATTGTTTAGTAAACTTTATATGCAACCGAAACTAAAGGAAAAAGGAAACCAAATACTGAGCTGCGGAAGCAAAACCTTAGACCAAAATATCGTGTAACACGGCATGGGAGGTATGATGACTTGGGACTGCATTTCCACAAAAGGAGTACAAAATTTAGTATTTTTTTGATGACATAATGAAACAACCCAAGTTCTTAGAAAATTTGAAGAGTCGGATGAAAAAAAGGGAATTGGCAATATATTTAATTTGTATCAGGACTATTACTCTAAGTGCAAAGCCCACAATGGCAAGTTCTGGTTGCTTTTTAACTGCCCAAAAGTCTTGGAAACGCCGTCCAATCGCCTGATCTCAATCCTATTGAGTATTTGTGAATTGAGTAGCACCGCCGTGTACACAAAACGCTAGGATCGGCCGTTTCGGACTAAAAGAAACTGCTTCGGGAAGCGTCGGCAAAAATGCTAAAACATGTATCATACCAAATACTAAATAAGAATAATAAGAAAACAAGAAAGGAAGCAAACTTCGGCAAGCCGAAGTTCATATAGCCTTGCAGCTATTGCAAGAATTAAATATTTTTGAAAACATTAAAATTAAGATTTACTTGCGTATATGTTTAAAACATTGAAGCTATGATGATTTGCAGCTCAATTATTAGATATTTGTTTTATATATTTATATTATTTCTATGGGAGCTATATAATATAGCCGTCCGATTTGATGAAATTTATACCGTAATTCTGAAATATTTAACCATTACTATATGTCGAAGAACTAATAAAAAACTATAATTTTTTTGTATTTTTTTCCGATTGTTCCTATGGGAGCTATATGATATAGTCGTCCGATTTTGATCAAATTTTACCGTAATTCTGAAATAGTTAACCATTGCTATATGTCGAAAAACTAATAGAAAAATTTAAAAACGGCAAAGTTATAATTTTTCTTGTATATTTTTTTGTATTTTTTTTCGATTGATCCTATGGGAGCTATATGATATAGTCGTCCGATTTTGATTAAATTTAAATCGTAATTCTGAAATATTTAACCATTACTATATGTCGAAGAAATAAAAAAATTAAAATACAGCAAAGTTATAATTTTTTTTTATTTTTTTTTTCGATTGTTCCTATGGGAGCTATATGCTATAGTCGTCCGATCCGGCTCGTTCCGACTTATATACTACCTGCAATAGAAAGACAACTTTTGGGAAAGTTTCATGCAGATAGCTTTAAAACTGAGAGACTAGTTTCCATAGAAACGGACGGATAGACGGACAGACGGACGGAGAGACGGACATGGCTAGATCGACTCTGCTAGTGATCCTGATCAAGAATATATATACTTTATAGGGTCGGAGATGTCTCCCTTCACTGCGTTGCAAACTTCTGGCTGAAATTATAATACCCTCTGCAAGGGTATAAAAACGAGTATTAAAATAACCCAACATTTGAGTTTTTTTAATTATATTTTTACTTTTAATTTTAATTACAACCTTAATATATGTACCTACATGAATAGGTGCATAAACAAACTTTAAATTTCCACTTTTAAATTAGTTTCTGTTAGGTTTAAACATTTTATTCGCTTTTGAAGCAACGTAATCAGGCTACAAAAAGAACTTCAAAAAACAAGAAAACATTTTTAGACAATTATTTCTTAAGGGATCTGCTAGGTAATTTCATTGTTATCGGTTTACGGCCACACTGGGTAAACCGAAACAAGAAATGGGGATATTTTACTTTTAAAACGTATAAAAACTAAAGATATTATGAATTATGTTTCTACAGTATTATTATTAATTTATTGAATTGTGCATTTTGTTGGCTATGACTTCCCAATCCCCTTTGATTGCGTTATTTTCAATATGTTTGCGCTATGACTTTCAACGCAATAGACTAATGAAAACAAGGAAAGAATCAAACTTCGGCAAGCCGAAGTTTATATACCCTTGCAGCTATTGCAAAAATTAAATATTCTTATAAAACATTCAAATTATGAATTACTTGTAGCGTATATGTTCAAAAACATTGAAAACAGGTAGTAACATACGTCGGAACGAACGAATATAGCATATAGCTGCCATAGGATCAATCGGTAAAATAATTGAAAAGAAATTATGTCTGTTGTTTTTTTTTCAAGTTAATTCCTAATAATTTAAATTAAATCTTAATGTATTAGGGATAATTGTTTACGACAGTAATGCTAATATGCAATATTTTATGTTTGAATTTTCCGTGTGAAAAACATGGTGTGCTCAAATCTAAAGCACAAACCGACATCGTTTGACTTTGGGACTTATTAATAGTCATTGCAAACGCCAATCTAATCGCATACTAAATACGTTTAAGTTGAATTGGCACATCTGTAGTTATAATAGGGATTCGTTGTATTAATATAATTTCACCTCCGAACTTGTAATTTACACATGCTGTCTTCAATAACGTTTTTCATTAATTTTCGTATGACACCACGTTTCCGGCAACAACTATTTTATCTTCCAATTTAAATTGTCAACGTCCACATTTTTTGCTGGATGTGTGCAACAATTCAGTCAATAAGGCATCCAGTTCGCCAACGATCCGTCTGGCAAAAAATGAATCAATGTTATTGTAGCCACAACGTGCATCCACACGATTGGCAAGTGCGCTTCCCGAATCCTCGCCGCCCATAAAGTAGTAGGTTGGCATTGGCAGCAATGGGCCCATTTTATGATAAACTTGACTTCTGATTTTGAATGTAGAATTATATTGTTGACCATATGCATTAGTGTTTTGTACTATTACTGCTGCTCCGAATGATGTCATTTGAAAGCAAGAATTCAATTTTAGAATTGGCTTAAGTAAAAAATAAGAATCTGGATCCGTGCCGTTAAGTAAATCATTTAATTTCTCATTTTGTGCTTAAATTTTAGATAGTTTTAGAGCATTCCTTGTTAATAGCACCAATTACCACTTTTGAATGAGCATAATATTCAATATCGGGCTGATACTAAGTGCTCGATGTACCTGTTGGCGTTGTTGGTCATTTGTTTTCCGTCTATTGACTGTGAAATGTCGTGATTGTCGTTGTTCTATGCGTCTTACGTCATTGCATTCAGCTCGCGTATCTTTTGATTGTTCTGGAAGCACTTGCGTAATGCTCGCACGCAGGATTTGGCTCTTCTATTTTGCATGCTTCTTGATATACTTGTATTACGACTCAAGTTAGCAGCTTTGCTTTTTGTTCAATGTACAAAATACAAACAAAAATAATTAATCGAATTACCTAATGATGAAACAAATTATACAAAAAGCGAAATCATGTAAAAATTTATTCGGTGAAGCGATAAAATACAAGAAAGAAAGCAAACTTCGGCAAGCCGAAGTTCATATACCCTTGCAGCTATTGCAAGAATTAAACATTTTTGAAAACATTAAAATTTTGATTTACTTGCGAATATTTTTAAAAACATTGAAGCTATGATGACTTGCAGCTCAATTATTTGATAGTTATTTTATATATTTTTATTATTTCTATGGGAGCTATATGATATAGACGTCCGATTTTGATAAAATTTAAACCATAATTCTGAAATATTTAACCATTGCTATATGTCGAAGAACTAAACAAAAAATTAAAAAACAGAAAAGTTATAATTTTTTTCATTTATTTTTCCGACTGTTTCTATGGGAGCTATATGCTATAGTCGACCGATTTTGATGAAATTTAAATCGTAAATCGGAAATATTTAACCATTACTAAATAAAAAATTAAAAAACAGCAAAGTTATAATTTTTTTTCATTTATTTTTCCGATTGTTCCTATGGGAGCTATATGCTATAGTCGTCCGATCCGGCTCGTTCCGACCTATATACTACCTGCAATAGAAAGACAGCTTTTGGAAAAGTTTCATGCACATAGCTTTAAAACTGAGAGACTAGTTTGCGTAGAAACGGACGGACAGACGGACAGACTGACAGACGGACAGACGGACGGACAGACGGACATGGCTAGATCGACTCTCCTAGTGATGCTGATCAAGAATATATATACTTTATAGGGTCGGAGATGTCTCCTTCACTGCGTTGCAAACTTCTGACTGAAATTATAATACCCTCTGCAAGGGTATAAAAATAAAAAAAAAATTTACCCTTCGGTATAGAAATGAAACTACAAAGTATAGGCCTTATTTCATTTAGTATTTAATTAATACTCATAGTTTAATACTGTCAGTTTATTTTAAAACGCCCTCTTTATCTAACGATCAAATTGCCAGCAAAATTTGTAACGTACATACAAAAAAAAAAATACTAACAGAAAGTAAACTATTATTACAAGATTTTTCAACTGTTGGGTAATACAAATTTTCAATAAGATGAATTAATTTAATATTCAATACCACAAAAGTAATATAATAAAACTTATGTGGCTTAAAAGTAAATCCTCAAAGACAAAAGTATAGGGGCTTATTATTAGTATTGAATTAGTACTTATACTTTAATACTTTCTGTAGTTTAATAACAAAGGTTTCCGCAAACTTATTGAAACTAAACTTTCTTTTTTTTGGGTTTTTATTGACACTCAGAGATTATTTTTGGGTTATACAGAACACA